CTTTATATATCGCTTATATATATTACTATTTCTTATATAGTTTCTTCTGCTTATATTCTCTTATATAGTATCCTAGTTTCCTATATATAAAATAGAGATTCTTCTATTAATACTTATTTTACTTATCCTAAGTAGCGTTTAATTCTATTAGCTTTAGGCTATATAGATTAAGGTCTTAAGGTACTCTATCGCGGTACCTATTACTAAAATGGCTAAATCTATAACTCTTACCCTTTTTCTATTAGTCTATCTCTTAGCGTTTATATTATCGCTCGTTAATATAATTATCGATCTTAACTATAATCGCGATAAGTTAGTCTAAGGTTTTAGGCCTATTAATTTATACTAATTTATCCTTAATATCTAGTTTAAGTCCTACCTTAAAGTACAGAATATATACTTAGTTAGGTAGATCTAGATAGGATATAATTTACTAGAATTTAGAGGTATAGACTAATATACTAGTTTATTATCTGATTTTCTATAGCTTACGTTTAGCTATTCAGGTTATATTAATATCTCTAAAGGTTCTTTTAAGATATTAGTAGAACTTATTATAGTTACTAAAGATATCCGCGGTAGTTATAGACTAATCTCCTAGTACCTTTTTATAATAATCTCGAATATATGGTTTAAGCTAGTTCTATACTTATCTATATAGGTAGGTTAATATAAAAATCACCTTACTAACTTTAGATAGAAGCTTAGCTTTATTTACGTTAAGGTATATATCTATCTAAGTAAAGAATCCTTAAAGCTTAGTTTAGTTTCCTTCGAAACACTTAGCCTTAGGTAACGCTAGCCCTTAGATAGTACTAGTTAGTACTAAAGCGGTAACTTAGGTATATATTTACACTAGATAGTCCTTAACCTAGGTATTATACTTTTCTTACTCTTAAAGTTTATTTAATAAAGTCTTTACCTACTCCTTTAGTATCTTAATCTTATTATCTCTCTTAGCGTTAGAATCGGGGTTATTATCCTAGACTAGCTTAGTTAAGACTTTCTTTCTAAGTTAAGATATATTAGTAATTATAACTCGAAACTTAATTTAAGATAGTCTTTAATATATTATATACTACTAACTAGTTATAGTTAGGTTAGATAGGTTCTAGGTATACTTGCCTTAATACTCCTTATATATCTAACGTTAATGATCTATCATAACTAAGCTATTACCTATAAGGCCTTACTATAGCCTAAGTCCTATTAAGAGATTAAAAAATAATACTAGTAAGAGCGCTAAGTAGATCTATATTAGGGTATTAGTCTACTCATAAGTATTATTAAGTTATAATTAAGTAAAGAGTTATAGTAGTCTAAAAGGTAAACACAAGTAATAATATATAATTAAAGACGAAGAACTAAACTAGGTATATAAATAAGTATCCTTATATATCTTTCGATTCCTACTCCTAGCGTAACTCCCTAGAGTCACCGCTAGAGTCGCTGTATACTCCTATATATACTTCTCTAAGTCGACGCGGGAGTCACAGTCATATGTCCTTGGTTCCGTATACAGCGATTCCTAGTATAGGTGATATCCGATACCCTAAAGCATATACGTACCGGAAATCTCCTAGTAGGGAGTCTGATCAGGCTTAATCATACTTTTACTTACTAAGCGTGAATAGGTTTTCTCTTTCCTGAATACCTGGGGATACTAGAGTATTAGATACTATATATGATCTGCTGACAGATAGATTGGTTAGCTCTCGGTGGCCTATCTGTGCACCCGGTGGGATACCATCGATTGGTGACAGGTAGTTCTGTAACATATACCTCTTTTAAATTCCTCTAAATCCCTTTCGAACCCTTTAAATTCCTTAAGTGAGACGCTTCTAAATAATAATCTTAATAATAGTATAGTAGGATAAAAGGTAGGGCTAGAGGAAGGGGGTAAGCCTATTATAGAATCCTAGGAATCCTAGGATAACTACCCTATAGATAAATAAGCTAAATTAGATCTTCTTAATTAAGATCCTAATATATAAATACTAATATTACTTCTAAATATCCTATATAAATTAATTTAACTATAAGATAAACCTATTTAATAAGCTCTTTATAAATTAACTAGGATTAAATAACTAAGTTATACTATATTAGAATATCTTACTTCTTATTATACTACTTTAGACCCTACTACTATTATTATTTATATAAGTAATAATAAAGTTATACTTTTAATCTATAAGGCTATATAAAATAAGGGGTTTAATCTTAATTATTAACCCCCTAATACCTTAAAACTTATACTAAATAATATAGGTTATATACCTAATAGCTAGGTTAATACTATAAATTATAAAGAGAGAGAAAAATAGCTTATTACTATATAGAAAGAGCTAAAATCGTATATTTAAAATAGATCCTAGAAGATTATAGACCGAAGTATAGTATAAAAGAAGAAACCCCTTATACTTTAATAGGTTTTTAATATTAAAAAAGAAGATAGAAGATATAAAGCTTATCTTATTATAAGAGGCTTTAATTAAATTAAAGATATTAATTTTTATAAAGTCTATACTATTATAGCTAAACCTATATCCTTTAAAATCTTCTATACTATTACTATAGCTAAAGACTAGGAGCTTTATTATTTTAATATTAAGACTACCTTTCTTAATATCGATATTAAGGAGTCGATTTTTATTAAACTCCCTAAGAATTAGGTTACTAGTAGAGCTAAGAAAATAGTAAAAGAGACTAGTAAACTATTTTAATCCTTTTAATAGTTATTATCCTATTTTTCTTACTAAGTAAATCTTAATAAAATAGGACTACTTATAAAGTCTATTTATAGCCTAAAATAAGCTTTATAGGAATAGTATATACTATTATATAATATATTATAAGTAATTAGATTCTAGAAAACTTATACTAATTATTCTATTTTTATTAAATAGATTAATAAAGGCTTAATTCTAGTCTTTATTATCGTCTACGTTAATAATATTCTTATTATATTACTTTTAAATAAGGTAATCGAGGTATTTAAAAACTAACTTAAAAAATACTTTATAGTTATAAATAAGGGACTAGTTAAAGAATACCTTACTATTTAAATTAAAAGAAATAAAAGATTAGGATTAATTTCTCTATTATAAAGAAAGTTTATTAAAACTCTCCTTAGTTAGTATAGGATAGAGAGTTATAAGCTAGTTTCTACCCTATTTAATAAAAAGGATCTATTAATTCCCTTTATAGGAAAAGTAATACCGGAAGTATATAAATTATACTAGGAAAAGGTTAGAAAGGTAATCTAGTTAATAATTAGAACCTATTTAGATATTACTTATACTACTATTTAACTAGCTAAGTATACTAGAAATCTAGGCCCTTAGTATAAATAAGCTATTAAATAGTTAATTCGCTACCTCGCTAGTATAATTAAGTTTCGAATCTAGTACTATTATAATTTATCTAATTCTTTACTCTATAGTTTTTACGATATAGATTACGTTAGTCTATACTATATAAATAAAATTTTAACGTCTAGCTTTATTTTTTACTTAGCTAGAGGTTTAATTTCTTAGTCCTTAAAGAAGTAAGCTTATATAGTATTATTATCTATAGAATCAGAGTATATTATATAAGCACTAGCTATATAACTAGGAAGTAAAGTGGCTTATCTTACTCCTTATAGAACTTCGGATATATAAAGTATAATATATATTACTAGAAAAGCCTATTATTATTTACGCTAATAATACTAGTGCTATTACTCTAGCTTTAAATCTAGAATATTATATACGTATAAAATATATTACTATTCGATATTATTTCTTACAGTAGGAAGTTAAAGTAAAATCAATTCGCTTTAAATATATTGTAATAAAAGAATGAGCTACTAACGGTTTTACTAAACTACTAGCATCTATTATATTTAGGCGTTTTATTAATTAATTGGGTCTTATACCTAATTCGTAATCAATTAGTGAAGAAAAATCATATAATTTCGATCGTAGGGGGTGTTTTAGGGACTCCCTATATCACATAATATATAGATCCCTTCCTACCACATTAGGAAGGAGTATATAAATTAGATTCCACGCGTATTCTATAGTTTTTCTTCTTCTTTAACACACCTCTTATAGTACAATTCCACAATTGTATTCTTTCATTAAGATTGATTTACTTCATCATTCTTAACAAGAGATAAAAACGTTTCAGGCGATAGGGAAGACCCGTCCATCGGAATTTGGATTTGGACTTGGAATACAAGGTGTCAGAGTGTAGCGTAAGTTGAGATACGGGGTCGACATCAATATGTTCCATCAAAAAGGTATCAACCTCCCTTGCAAAGAAAGCTATGATAATTCGTTAGAGTTGATTTGACAGACAGAGGAGGTTGCGTACTATTTACGGCCCACAGCTTTGGTATATCGTCGAGTCGACAAATCCTGAGGGTCTCTTGAAGTATTTGCGACTGCAATTCCGCGGGAATGTACATTTTGGTGTATCTTTCTAGATAGCCTAATATCCCTCTCGTGATAGATGTGTCTATCCTTATAACCTGTGCGGAATTTCTCTGTGAGTCACAGATAATCCTTGTGGGCTTGGCGAGGGCGCCTGAGCGATGCTGGAGGCCAGGAAAATTGAAGAGTCATGAAGTTCACAGTCGAAGTTCGAGAGATTATGAGAGTCCTCGGGGACCTTCTTACCTCTCCCTAATAAATAATTTTGTTCTCACCAAACTCATTTACATAACTCGTAAATGCGACCTTGGAAGAAATGGGGCTTAGCAGCTAGCGGGCCGCTACGTAATGCACTGCCCCGAGGATTATCCAATAGACACTCAACTATTAGGTACTGCTAATTTACATTCACTTATACTGTACTCCGTACTCCGTACAGGGACCTGGACTGCTCCGTATGGTTGATCTAAATAAGGGCCTTGCAAGTCCAAGTTGGGATATCCGGATTAGGTGTATAAAATTGAGAAGTAGCTGTATCTATCCACGCCCAGTGCGAATAACGCTAGGAAACAGTGTAAACTAGTCAAAGCCACTCTGGCTTTTGCCCTCCTTATCGCCATGGGCAGACTGGCCTGCGTCAATGCGAGTCACTTCAAAATCTTTACGAACGTGCACAATGCTCAACGGCGACATGGGCACCTCGTCGTTTATGGACGACTCGATATCCCCGGCAGACCCAGGCACAACTTGGCTAGACTTTTCTTTTGACTGTTTCAAAATGGGATCGGTTGTATTATGGTACGCGGCCCTTGCAGATGAGCTCTGGTTCTGGGAGGCGACGAAGAGTTGTCGGAGAGAAGCAACACAGGAGACAATGATCGCTACCAAGTTACTGTCAGTATAGAGATAGTAACTTCATAAACCCCAAAACAACATACCGACATCCACCTCAACAAAGCTCCAAAAGCACAGCCAGTCAATATTGATCTGGCGGTCATAGGTCATCCCAACGGCTACCCGGATGATAGCGACTATCATGATGAAGATAGTAGCGGAGAAAATACTAAGTAGGATGAGCTTTTTGCGGAGAGAGATTTTTGTTCTCCATAGCACAAGGAACGGAATAGACAGGACTAAAACGGCAACATTGTTAGCTTAAAGGAGCAGGCTTAATAGTCCAGCGTATACGCAAGAAACGCACTCATCAAGTCCGTGATAACATCGCCAGCACAGTTGGCCCAGAACATGCGGTTTTCATAATGAACGTGATGTGGTTGGGGGCATTGAGCTGTAACGTTCAGTGTTAACATAAATCAAATCGCACTGGTGTTCGCTGGGTCTCACTGATAATATATTCTATCCCGCCAAGACTACATTTGTATTCGATATCGCCCACCGATGCAATGTAGACACTGGCCGTGCAGAAAAGAACGACAAACCACCAAATGCGGAGAGGCTTGACCTTGGCGCTGATACGGTAGAAGAGTGCCATAAATGAGAATTTGACACACCACAGCGCTGAATAAAACAATATCTCGAACGGAGCATTAAATCGCATGAATTCGTTGTATCTCGGGAGGAATTCGAGAGTGAATGGCTTCGTGCCGGCACTGATAGCGTATAACTCGTAAAGAATCTTCCCTTCGACTTGCCAAATGACAGCCGCTGTGAGCATGATGATCCATGCAAAGACAACGAGGAAGTCATCTAGGAATAGTCGACGGAATGAGGCAACTTGAGCGTAGATGCGGAACGCAACGAATATAAGCGATACGCCAGTGAGAGCCCAGAGCACGCCCTAAATGTAAGTGGAATATTAGTTGTGTACACCGAAAACATCTTGTTATTATGTTAGATACCCACCAAAAACACAGATTCAGAAATTCTGCTATGCTGGTCATCATACTCTGCCATTATTGCGAGATTCTCAGTGTAAAAGTTTGAGATAGAGATTAAATGACGAGTCTTGAGAAGTATATAGACTCTCTAAATATATCGCCAAGAGATTAGACATAGTATTCTTTGTTGGTCCCTTGCCAGTGCCGGTCTAGCCACCCTCCACATGAATTTTGCCGAGCTTCGCTCTATTGGCGTAGCTGGAAACCATTGGAGTTCTTTGAGGACATCAACCCGGATACCTCGCGCCATGTGGAGTGTACTTGAAGGGAAGGAGCTCGGGCTTTGATCTGAACGCCACCAGGATTGATGCAATGAACAAATCATGAGTGCAGCAAAGCGACTATGGTGGTAGGGCTTCCCGAGAATGATTGTCGTTGATCAACAATTACGGTCGTGCGGTCTCGAGGTGGTGCCAAATGAGAATATCAAGCACTCCTTCACCATAGACCTTGACACTCAAACTCGTAGGACCGCTCCATCAATTTGCAGTTCGAGTAATTAGAAAAGGAGGCAACGGTAAAGATGTTCCAAATAATTATGAAGCCCATGTATCTCCGCCTCTCGGCATTGCTCACGATTTACCCCATTTGATCTCTGTTGAGCGGAGTGTAGCCATGTCGCCTAGCAGCCCGCTTTCTATCAATGCGGTTGCTCAATAGGACATACGTGGGGCGAAAACCATGATAATGATCATTGCACAACTAACCGAAAGGTCAGGGGTGTCAAAGAATTTATCTTCCCACCCGTTCCCTCGATATATCCGGGAGACAAAGACCAAGAATTTCTATCGAGCTCAGACCTCAACGGAATTATTTTGGGTGTTGATAGAGTGTGGATACATTGATAAATGAAAGGTAACTTTATAATTTTATTGAATTAATTCGTCATGTGCTTTATGAGCAAGATAACTAGACAGTCTTTGGTGAATGGCGCCGCAAGTACGCCATCCCTATCGCCGTTGTTGTGTGGCGTATATGGGCTTTGAGGCGGGCTCTCAATTCCCATTTTACGATAATGGTGCAGTAAAGAGTCACCAGAAGGGATTTTCAAGTTTTCTTTGCGAAGAAGCGCCACCGAGAATACCAAGATTTCTCGCATTTTCAGGAGCAGGTTAAACGATGCAAGAATTTCAATTGCAATTCACCTGATGTTGCGAAAGTATTATTTACGGGATATAGTGATCGGGAATTGGACGCCTAGAGAGAGCTAGACTCCGAAAGGCCTGTGTAGAAACCAGACTGAGATTTGAGATCAGAATGTGGTGCAATCACAACTTGGTTTTTCTGGAGACCCTAGAGGATATCACCAACTCCAGTTTGCACCGTTCTTTTCCAGAATAATGTACTACACGTGCTTTGAGCACTACAATGGACGCTAAAAAATTTCTTGGCCAATGTTGAAAGCGGCATCGTGCCTGTGACCTGTCATGACGATGTCTTACGGATCGCATTCATCTATCTGGATGAGGGGCTGTGGACCGACAACGAGGTGTTCGATGTAGTGGAGAAGCTGAATGCGCATTGCTGGTCCTTTGGTGAGGGCGAGTTACCCTTTAACCAGTAATTTATCTCCTCTGGTAATCTCTAATAGCACTGTATAATCAAATGAATGACAGTACCCTGGATGTGTTCTATCTCGCACAGATAGCAGCAGCCATCTACCGCTATTCCTCCCAACTAGAAGAGGTATTCCTCCCAACTAGAAGAGGACTTCCCCTCCGTCTCTAATTTTCCTGCCTCCCACATCGCTCACCACGCCCTTATACACTCCTCCGTCTGGTGTTCCTAGTACTCTACTCACTTCCTGGTCTAGCCTACTACGGCGCGCTTTTACCGCCAGCCTGACCTCCAGGACCTCCCAGACTCCACCTCCCCGCTATACCACCCGCACCACAGTACGGTATTCGCACATATTATGAAACTCTTTCGCTGGGCCTACACTGTCTCATGTACGCGACACAGGCAGCCCTTTCTGCCATTTGTGCCTCTAGTGCAATAGCCCTCAGCACGCTGGAGGCAACCATGACACACCTACACACGGCCTACCCAAGCGCAAAACCCTATTCGGAATCACCTGCTCACTTCTAGCTTCAGTATATCACTCCTGATCCATCTTTATCCCAGCTGGGGGGGCCATATGTACGCATATGGCAGGGCGTGTGGCCTGTTGCAGAGGAGAGGGGTGAGATGCTGCGGCGGATGTTGATAGAAAATGCGCAGCTCTTTGCACGCTAGATGGTGTCACCTTTTTCGAACCAGTTCGCCTTTGAGTTGGGGTCGAGGGAGTAAGGGATTCAGACTACTATGACGACCATTATACAACCATTAGACAGGATACAGCGTCAAGCGCCAAAGACTCCCATCCAAGCCTATTTATACTTTATACTGCGGCCCCTTCTCTACCTGATTGTCCATAGAGAACTTCGTTTTCCTGCAATGGAGTGTTGAAAGAGGTGGGGAATGCACGTGGAAATACTGATCGGGACGGTATGGGCCCATAGAACCAGAAGTGGAGACGCTCCACTTTCAACTATATATATATCCACCAATGTCACTCCCCTTACGCATAATCAACAGTGATAAACAGATAATTGCCCAGAGCATTCAATCACTTCCACATTTAGCCCTGGGTTGCTAATCCCTGCATGTTTTCTACCTCGAACTACTTCGGCTATGTAGACGGATCATGCTGGTAACACCGCAATCGATGTTTTTCGGCATGGAAATGCTCCTAAGGATACTAATGCACCTATATAGAAACACAGAAGTGGATTGAACAATTCTTCCCGGATCACAGGAAACCTTTCGGGGGGAAATGGATTCGACGCCCTCCAAATCGTTTAGTTGAGATATGAATGGTGAAGGACTACTGGACGTTACCCTAAATAGGAATCTTGAGAAGCATAAATGGCCGAGTAACAGCTAGATTAGTAACCGTGGCTGCCGTCTTAAATCGACATCATCCATGTCCTTGCTACACTGTTTGCCAGTTTGTTTGATAATTCTTACTAAATTGGGTCGCTTAAAGGATGCAAATTTCAGCTGAAGGTGCAATGACAAAAGGTAGGGTGATAAACTAGACATATACGCAATGTCCGGACAAGAAGGCGAATCTCAAAAGGAGATAAGCATAAAGCCACTATAGTTAAGCGAAGTAGAAAGAACCAATGACAACACATTCGTCCAAATGGCGTGTATAAATTTCCGAATGATGCAAGTCGCTTGGACCCCACCTTTCCAACTACCCCGGCATATCTGAGTATTATCCCGCAAATGATACCTACTCATTGCCGAGATATAAGGAAAGATTGCGAGTGCTACTTGTCCTATTTAGTCGATCATCTAGCATTAGTTGGTTTCTTCGGGGATTGTCTCATTCACGCCTACGCGCACAACATAACAGCTCTTCCCAATGCGAAATTGCGTGACAGACATTGCGATCACAAGTAATTCTTGCAGAAATAAAAAGGCGGAGATAACGTATTTTCTAATGCCTCCATAATAACTTTCAAGAAGGTCCTGCCTTTGTCTCTTTCTGCAATACACAAACATGTCTATAGACGAAATAAAGACGGCGCAGATTTCAGCCAGTAGTACAGATGGCTCGGATGAAGAGTGGCAGAAGAGTGAGCATCACAAATCAGAAGGTGCATTTGAGGCAAGAGAGGGCCATCACTTCTACCGGCCCATTGACAGCTACGAGGGACTCCATCGCTGGGATCCGAATTTTCAATGGACAGAAGCCGAAGAGAAGAAAATTGTCCGGAAAGTATGTTGACCTTTTGTCTCACGACCCAATTGTGAACTAATCAAATTCCGACAGATTGATGCCCGCGTCTGCACGTTTGCCTGTGTGACATTCTTTGCATTACAGTTGGACCGAGGAAACATCGGCCAAGCACTCGCAAGTACACTTCTCGCAGATTTGGGTATGACCAGTAATGATTACAACTTGGGTCAGACAGTCTTCCTTGTCTGCTTCTTGTTAGCTGAGATGCCCTCTCAGTTACTCTCCAAGAGAATCGGTCCAGATCGGTGGATTCCTATTCAAATGGTTTCTTGGAGTCTGATCGCAGCTTGTCAGGCATTTTTGAAAGGGCGTGGATCATATTTGGCCTGCCGGGCTCTGTTAGGATTGTTAGAAGGCGGCTTGTGAGTATCCAGCTTCCACACAATCTGGACATCCGATTAACCGCTTTTACTAGTATACCCGATACGATCCTATTCTTGTCCTTCTTCTACAAATCCAGTGAGCTACCGAAAAGACTGACGTGGTTCTGGATTTCCTACACCGTTGCCGGAATTATTGGTTCCTTCCTAGCCTTCGGCTTCCTTCACATCACCGACGCCAATGGCCGCGGCGCCTGGAGATATCTATTCGCATACGAGGGTCTCATAACAGGTGTGATTGGAATCATTGCTGCATTCTGGATGCCAGCCTCACCCGTGCAAACAAAAGGAGGATTGCGCGGAAAGAACGGATGGTTCACAGAGCATGAAGAGAAGATCATCGTGAACCGCGTTATTCGGGATGATCCTAGTAAGGGAAGTATGCACAACAGACAAGCAGTTACCCCACGGCGGTTTTGGGAATCACTCAAGGACTACCATATGTGGCCAATTTATGCTCTCGGTCTAATCTGGATGATACCCTCCAACCCGGCGCAAAATTACCTCACTTTACAACTGCGATCCCAGGGGTTCACAACGTTCCAAACCAATTTGCTGACAATCCCAGCGGCTGTCATTGCAATTATCACCATGACATCTATCACCTGGGTTGCAGAGCGTACGAACCAACGTCTACTCTGGGGCGTGGCAGTCGAAGTATGGCACTTGGCCCTGTTGATCGCACTAGAGTTGCTTCCTCAGAAAAGCATGCCCTGGCCCCGTTGGGCAATCCTTACGCTACTTGTTGGTGGGCCCAACATCCATCCTGTTATAGTGGCATTAACTTCACGGAATGCCGGATCTGTGCGGACTCGCACTGTTGCGTCGGCATTGTATAACATGTCGATACAACTCAGCAGTATTGCCGGTGCTAATGTGAGTTTTACCATTGATTTTGGCTTCTAATGGCCCGGAGACATATGATTCGGCATACTAACAACGTTAAAACAGGTTTATCAAGCAAAGGATGCCCCATATTATAGAAATGGAAATAAGGTTCTTATTGCACTGGCTGTCGTCAGTGGGTTCCTGTTTATCTTCGCCAAGTTCTACTACGATTGGTGGAATCGGTACATACCCGGAACACTCAGACTTAAATTCGGAGCATGCTTGCTAACCCCATATAGGAGAAACTCTGCAAAATGGAATGCTATGACGAGGGAGCAAAGAGAGCTTTATCTTCGTGAAAATCCGGTGTTGACTAACAAGAGGTACGTTGGCGCGCATAGCATACCTATTCTTGGTACCTACAAACTGACCATATTTTATAGAATCGACTTTCGCTTTGCGCGTTAGGGCTGTAAAGCTGCAGAGGAAATTGGAGAAATTAGATAGTATCCTACATGTTTGCTACGTACAATGTATACCCAGTTGTCCATAAAAAGAGTGATACTTGCACATTGGCTCTTCCTCTGAAGTCGACTAGTCAGAAAGTACTGGCTTTATCAAAGAAATAAGTTCATTCAAGTCAAAGCTATCAGATAAGTCTAGACTCTACGATAGCAAGAAAGAAATAATTTAACAATTAGTCGACATGCAGACTCCTTGTGAGGTTAACCCAAAATTGCACCATTATGGCTCAGATGAGGTTGTCCGTGCCGATTATAGCAAGACGCATTGATATTGCGATATGTCGTCAGCACTTGAGCTGCGTACATCTTCCCTATCAAATTTTATATTGCTCCTAAATAAAGTGAATCTTGCTGGAAGTGGATAAATCAAAATTGGGTGCATAGTCCCGTGTAGGTCGGGTGTAATGAGAAAAGGTAGACGTGTTACGGCCTTCATTGTTCCAAAGTACCTGGAAATCTATCTAACAAAATCTCAAGCCTTACTTTCCCCCTCCGGAACATAAGGTGTCTCATAAGGACGTTCGGCCTGTGGGGTAATGCGGGCCAAGTGTCGACGTTCACCCGTAGTCCAGTCGATAATCACAGAATGAGCTGTGACGCGGTTCTGTAAAACATGCACCCGTTAGCATTTTCAACCATTGATCAATTATTAGAGAGTCAACTCACATCCCAAACAACCACGGTCTTTGGGGCCCATCGAATTCGAGTCTGGAAATCAATACCACGACCCACATGAGCCAGAAGGAAGCCTAGAAGGGCATCACTCTCCTCCTTTTTGAGGCCAACAATACTGCGAGTGACTAGGATTGGTGTTAGCTCCGCCTTTTCCAATAAATACGGGAGAATACTTACAGCCACCATTAACGAAAAGTGCTTTCTCACCAGTCACCGGATGAGTTCGAACAAGAGGATGCTCCGTCTTCACTGGCTCCCGTCTAACAACCCCCCCACGCTTGACGCTATATTCAACCTGCTCAACTCCAGAATGCACAGCTTTCAAGCCATGCAGACGCTCCTTAAGCGCCGGCGAAAGCCGGTTATAGGCCTCCACTTGGTCGACGAAAGCAGTGTCACCGCCGACTTCAGGGCCATCAAGGATATACAAGAACGTGGTACCGGGTGGTTGCTGCTCATATGTGACATCAGAATGCCATGCGACACTACTGTTTCTAGTAGCGAGGAATTCATCATATTCCCACGCATTGTTGCTTCGGTGGACGAGATGGATCTCGGGATACCCCTCCGGAGCCCCGCTAGTTGGGTGGATATGGTGACGGCCAAAATAACCTCCAAAATCGAGAGCATCTTGGATTGGGAGATCTGCGAAGTCTTGGTCCCTGAAGGCGACAACCTTGCGTTGGGCGACAAGTAGAGCGAGCTGGTCCTTTCCAGCAGGTGTGAGTTTGCTCAGCTGAATGCCTGTAACCTCAGAACCGATTGTTGGCGTCAACTTTTGGATTTTCGAGCCTTCAGTGAGGAGGTCCTTGAAGGATGGGTCGGCATCTTTCCCGTGGTCAACGTGGGTAAAAGGTTCAAGAGGTGGGTATTTCTCGTCGTGGTCATATACAGGTAGGTAGTGTGGATACTGGATAATGGTTAGTCCAGTCATTTGTAGAGACCAACAGATCTGAGCCAGTAGTCACCTACACTAGCAGTAGTCTTTCCTCCTTCCTCGTCAATGATCCGTCGGACTCTAGGTTTGGTGTCGGTTGTTTCAGGAGCGACCTTCACAGGAACGACCACTTCTGCAGTGGAAATCTGGGCAATAGAGGGTGCCATATTGTGCTAGTCTTGATAGTGGTAGATAAGTTATTGTCGTTTGTCAAGTTTGAGCGATTATCTCTTGTAATCTATGAGCAGCCCCTGACTTAAATACGCGTGATTTTCAATTCATATTCGCTTCGCGCCATCGTTCATCAAATCACGTATGATTCCTTCATGTCCCATATAAGCCACTGTGATAAGCATCATGTGAAAGAAAAGGGTCGTGTACATGACACACGTCGGCATTGATGATCTCTTCCGGCCGTGATATCTGTTTCATTAAATGAGCAATTTTGTAAGCACGTTTATTTTCGTATATCTACGCCCCGCTAATACTGAGACGCATAATTTTCAGGATTAGAATCCCGCTAGCTAGGAGATGTCGTCGATCGCTCCAATTACAGCACGGGGTGTATATTCTCTGAACCGATTATACACTATATAACGAGACCTTTATTAAGGTTGACGTGCTATACATGAGAATAGCATCATGCACTTGCCAATGGTTGGGAATGGTATATAGTGCTCTTGGATGCATTGATAATATTGACATGGCGTGATATGGTGCAAGTAACAACCCCGCAACCAACGATAGGCTCATAGTATCTACATATCAGAGCCCAACGAAAACATTGACAGATGTATAGCACGTAGAGAGATGAAGCAAAAGCGCGAGAATATGTACTTTATTAGCCGAATTTTTCTATAACAAGAACAGTCGGCCGTATAAGCGACGTTATGATAAATATCTTTTCAGTGATCTTTTCAATGGTCACTTGGATGGTCTTCTGAGATATCATTCTATTTAGGTGCCTTGCCGTCTTTTATGTCAACAGCGAAAACGTCGGAAAAGGGCTTAATTTGTACAGACGGCCTGACTATATATAATCTTTCAACTAAGTCAAGTCGCCAAACTATCAGAATCTGTCCTCGGCGAGTGATAGTAGTATGCTATGTTCTCGTATACAACTATTAGCGCGCCTTGGCCCTTGATTATAGAGACCACGAAAGAATTCGATAGTCAGTTTCTGTTGTCTGACAAGAAATCGAGCGGAAAGACCATGAGGGAATATAAAAACAATTATAACGAAACAGGTCTCATGGCTTAGAAGCATTTCTTCCGAGGCGATGTTCTTTTCTATGGCTATACCGCGTCTTTGATCCTGTGCAGCCAACTTTACTCTAACTCAATTCGCTCTTTTCTCTCCTTTTGTATAATATTTCTTTACTCTCAAGGGTGGGTTGCTTCTATTCCTTGAGGTATTTGCATCCTCCAACTCGCCTGTGCATTTTGATGTGCATGACAGAAGATTTTACGGGATATTGTCCTCAACATGTCGTACCGATACAACTTTCGACGTAGTACTCGCAGTCAGAAAGTACCACATCAACCCCCTGAAGGCTCACCAAGCGATCCGACCTGACACATAAAGCTCATTGTTCACGACCTACATATATAGATCTTGACAAGTATTACGTTGGAATTGTGGTCCGACCTAAACGACCAGATCTGCCAAAGAAAAACAGACCCTGGTCCAAATGGACGGGGGCCAACCCTCTTACCGACCTAGCTTAACTTCCTCCCAGCTGGCATATGAATGAGGATGATCTTGAAATGGAGTAAGGCGGCGTCAAATCTAAGTAGCCGATGCGGACAACGGGCTAATTGGAGTTGTATAGCGATATCGATGCGCAAATTGAAAGATGCCATGACAGAATTGCGAAGAACATACTGCCCCATGTCTTTCAGCAAAGATTGGAGAAATATATGGCTGTGAAAGTAAAACGAGACTCAGTCTATCCCATTGATCTTGCTTCTGTACAGATTCTAACATTGTTAAACTATAGCGCGATGAGGTTCACCGGCTCCGAGAAGCTCAGCTGGGAGACTATTCAACGGGTGCATGAATTGGAGAGTATGAAGGCGGATATAACACGTGATGGGGATAAAGTCGAGCAGCTTCCAAACATTGACGCTCTTTTGAAGGTATATAAATCGGGCGAGCTTGCATGGTATACCCATACCGGGCTTGTTACCTATTGGTCAAGGGGAGCCCAAATTTGTCAACCAAGACCATTCGACTGGGATGAATTCGACACAATTAATTCTGCCCTCACAGGCGACAAAGGATTTTTGACTCCTTTATAAATATGAATGTTTCAGAGGGACATGCTAATGAATAACATTAGCTCACAGGCCCTGAATCAGATACTTCCTATGGAGGGATCATATCAAATCCAGATCCAAACCGCCCAAAGCTTAATGCTGTAAGATCCATGTCTCAACTCTCTTTCGCGTTTCTCTAACTTTTTTATTTAGCTGAAATTGGCTCTTCCTGCTCCAGGAATACAGTTCTTTGCCGAGTTGGACTATCTCCACGACACCGGGGCCGGTATGATGACCCTTTATGAGGGAGATCTCAAAACGCTTCTTGGTCCGTTTGGTGCGACTGCCGGGCCAACAATACTAATCGTTAATCGTGGGCTCCGTAAGGTCTTGCGTTGGAAATGGCGCCTCCTTAACCAGGGACGGCATTCAAATGGAAGTCGCCATTCTGCACGGGGCTCGTGAAAGAATGACCGCTTGGACTAGAACCATGTGTGCTCTCAATAAAGGCAACTGGGCATGCAATGATGTGCCTCGACTAGACGGGCCAATTTTGCGAGACCTGTTATATCTGGGAAGCCCACCTAATGGCGGACACCCTTTACACATCGCAACCACGAGGTCTGGACTTAACCTACCAGATCTGGACCTGGCTGCCAATCTACCTAGGCATCTCGTGCAATATAGAGGGTTAAAGGTATTACCAGCAGCAATACTTTTTGCCGGACATGGTGGGTGGCTTGCGGGGCCACCAGCAAAGATGGCGATGCCGCCACTAGCATCTGGAGCTCCTTGAGAGACCAAAAACCTACCATTCTTGTCGCAGGCTGGTGCCTGTGCTCCAACTCATCCCCTTTCTCCTTTGTTTGTTGCTCGGAATGTACTGATCTATCGATTTCTCGATCCAGCACAGTTTTAGTTTTTTTAGTTTTTTTTTTTTTTTTTTTTTTTGACTGTTTGTTATGTGCGATTTTGTGCCTTCGCCTTGAACCGAAAACTGCTGACAGAAATATATTTTGTTTATTGAGAAACCATATATTCACTCGAGGACCAGCTTACCAATTCCAGCACTTTTTTCCCTCGCTCTGGTGCTCCTCAGATCTTTCACTCTTTTGTGGCTAGGGAGCAATTTTGTCGATCGAATATGCAAGCCTACAAGTATGCAGATCTTAGGCTGGCGCTCACCCTTTTGTTCCCCCTTTCTCGCCCCTCAGACTTTGGCTCTTAGCGACCTGCTTACAAGTACTTCCTATGAGAGAAAATAAGCTAAGGAAGGGTGTTACTCGGTACTCCGTAAATAAATCCACAATAAAGATTTCATTCAATATTTGTTGTGATCGCCATAATGAGAGCACGTGACCTGCAGGTCTCCGCGACACGGCCCATCTGTTCCCGCCTCTTTCCCTCTTGTTCTATTCCTCCCACTTGTTTTGTATCAAATCCAGTCACAATTTATTCTTTCTATTCTCGGGAGCAAACCTCAAGTCTTGATGAGTCCATCTATGAGAATTACGGCTCGGATGTAGCTGGTTTCAAAGAGAAATGTTGATCATTTGTGGCCATAGCTAGCCCCACGTCGCTTGTTACGTGCTGTGGATCACCATCTAGACTGAACAGCGAAATAGCTCCAAGCTCGTCTGTTCGCCTAACCAATTTTCATGAGAATTAAAGGAACAAAAGAAAGAGCTGACTCCAACTGATATGATTTTAGTTACCCAAGCCATTTTGGCGACTAATTTAATATCACAATACCAACTGCAACCCAAAGGCTTTGCGTAGAAAAATCACCTGCACTAATTAGGCCTGTTTTCGCCTTATTTTCCGGTTGACCTAACCTACTTAAATAGAATGATATCTGAGAAGACTACTAAGCATACCACTGGAAAGACTACTGAAAAGTCTACTGCAAGCCATCACAAGGCCGCTTATACGGCCCACTACTCTTGTGAGCCTAGCTATGAAAACTAGTTTATCACAACTAGTGGCAACTGATCAACGGCTTCCACTTCAGGGTCCACAATTATTTACCGCCATGGAGGGTCCCGAGAAAGATACCTTTGTAGGGGTTTCCTCCCATCCTCCCAACTTCCATCTCTAAGACCTACTTTTCACAGGGGCATCAATCTCCTAGCGAAACTCAATCATCATGACCACCGATGAGAAGGCAAGTGTGGGTGACACGGAGTTGGGAAGCCCTAGAGACTCCACCGAGGAGCACGAGGTCTTCAAGAAGACGGAGGATGGCGTCAGCTTCCGGGGTGTTGGCTGGTTCAAGGCGTGTATTATCTTCGTCAAAGTCCTCTTCGCGACGGGTGTGCTATCCCTGCCAGCGTCGCTGTACTCCCTCGGTGCAGTAGGTGGCTCGATAAGTATCATCGCATGGGGCGTGTTCAACACCTACTCTTTCGTGATTCTGGGCAACTTTCGCAAGGACCACCCTCACTGCCACTCTATTGCCGACATGGCAGAAGTTGTGGGCGGTTTCTTCGCGAAGGAGCTTACCGGTTTACTCTTTCTCATCGGCTACGTCCTTGTCGTCGGCAGTGGTATCATTGGGGTTTCGACAGCCTTGAATGCCCTGTCGCACCACTCGGCGTGCACTGTCTGGTGGTCTTTGATTGGAGCGGTTGTGATCGTAGCAACAGCTTCGGTACGCAAACTTCAGCATGTGGGCTGGCTCACATACGCAGGATTCATTTCGATCTATGCTGCAGTTCTGATTGTTGTCATCGGAGTGACAACGCGCGACCGCCCAGCCGCCGCACCCCAGGAGGGCCCTTATGACCTTGGCTATGTGGCTATTAACAACCCCGGATTTGCTGCTGGCATGGTTGCTTCTAGCACCATCTTCGTGTCCACGGCTGGTACCAGCGCCTTCATCCCGGTGATGTCGGAGATGAAAAACCCGAAGGACTACAAGAAGGCGCTATATCTGTGCATGATTGTCGTTAATGCGTCGTACCTTGCTTTCAGCTTGGTTGTCTATCGTTGGTGTGGACAATGGGTGGCCAGTCCGTCTTTGGGTGTATGTCTCCTTTGCCTGACGCTGATTCGGGGCGCAATTAGCTGATTCTTATTATTTACAGAGCGCCGGACAGACGATAAAGATGGTATCTTACGGTGTTGCGCTGGTGGGACTGGTTGTGAGCGCCACAATTTACCTGCATGTAAGTATCTCGATTGCGACTCAAGTGTCAGGAATTGACTTTTCTATTTAGGTTGCCGCCAAATACGTCTTTGTGCGCATTCTGGGTAACACGCGACATCTGCAGGCCAACACTGTCGTTCATTGGGCCACTTGGATGGGTTGTACGATTACCCTCGGTGCTATTTCCTTCGTCCTTAGCGAGACTATTCCTATCTTCAACTATTTGGTTGCCTTGATCGGGTCCGTTTGCTTCGCCCCCCTGGCTATGTGTCTCCCTGGCTTTTTGTGGCTGTACAGCAACAGTCACTACCGGAAGGGTACAGTTATGCAGAAAGTGATCTACCTTCTGCACTGGGGAATGGTACTTCTCGGCATCTTTTTCCTTGTCGGTGCGACGTACGGCGTTGTCCTTCAGATCATTGACGCCTACGCAACGGGAATGATTGGTATGTTTTGGTATACTCCCAACAGTTTAGAAGTTGCGATTGACCATTTTTTAGGCTCCACCTTCAGCTGCCTCGATAACTCGAACTCGTCCTAGGCAACCGTTTTTGGGGACAAATGTCTTTGTTCGGTATGACTAAGGATCGACTCCAAACTGGAGTGCTATATACGTTTAATATGTGGTGTGGATGGGAACGCTAATGAGGGTATTATATAGGGCCCGGGTGGTCATAACGTAATGAGCATAGAATGGTAATAATTTCTGTTTCGAAGCCCTCGCCTAACTAGTTAGGGCCACCGCAAACACTAGTCTCTAACTAATATATGTAGGTCGATCTCCACTTGCACTCAAAATGAGGTCCTCGTGTGGTGCCTGGAGTTCCGCGTCTTGAATCCACACGTTCATGCCGTTCTAACTGCATTTAGCCTGGTTTTTGCCTATCGACACCTTGATTCCTTCATGCTTCGTTGTTTTCCGGACATGAGAGGTTCTTGTGTACCTGCACATCTCCAGCTTTCACGGCATACCAATATCTTAGTATTCCAGACCCCAAGAGACTGAACTTAATCTCAAATTCGGGGCGTCCATCCCGTGTGGATCCACTTCTGTCCACGACACGGATGCTTGCGGGCTCGTGGCCTCGCATGTGGGGGGGCGATGATCGTGCCGCCAATAACTCCTTATCGCAGCACCTCGCGACTGTTAATCTTCGGCAGTTAGCGATAAGGATGCTTCATCCTGGTCTCCCACGCTATGACAGGCAGAGGGGAGTTAGTAGGATACCGCGAACAAACCACGGGGGTGGTTTATCTCGACAAAGACGTAGGTCATATTTGCGAGCATCTCGTCAGGTCTCGAATCAGGACATGAATCTCGATCGAGTCGTCCACGAATCATGAGTCAAACGCGTGGACGTTTGCTGAAAGGAAAAAAGGCATACTTTTCACGAGTGGGGATTCTTAGCGACAGATTCTTAGCCTAATACGATACCAAGGCTACCTTTACCTTCCCCTCAACAAGGTTGCGGCAAGCGTTCTCGATTCACCCAATGCTTTTATTACTTGGCTACCCCGGGTATAGATCGGTTATCCACTTTTAGAATACCGACATGGCAACGGTCTCGGCAACAATCCGTGGGGGCGGGCGCGGGGTATCTATCCTATGCCGGTCCGCCATACCAACAAAAAAAATAATAGCTCGGATGCATATGGTGTACAGTGCGACAGGCTACAGCTATAAGTGGGATAACGAAGGTCTGTGATTTCTCCATACAATATTTTGAAACTCGATCAACATCTCCAATTATACACTGAGCCTACATCTTATTTCACAATGCCCCTTCCCAAATACACCTACAATGGCCCAATCGACCACACAGTGGTGCCGGACCTAGCCAATGCCAAAGGCAAATCGGTCATCATTACCGGAGGCGCAAATGGAATGGGCGAGACCATGGTGCGCGCCTTCGTTGAGGCCGGCGCATTTGTCACTTTTGGCGACCTTCACCCTCGAGGAGACGATCTCGCTAAGGAATTGAATACGAATGGTGAAACCGCCGCATTTGTTAAGTGTGACATTACAAACTGGGATGCTTTGATTACACTATTCGAGACGGCCAAGGCCAAGAGTCCTCATAATAGCGTTGATGTTGTCATTGCAAATGCCGGAATATCCCGCTCTTCCGGGGACAGTCTGTGGAATCTCGATGGTAAGTCTCTATCTGGCAATGGAGAGTTAGATATATCGAAGTCTAGCTCGGCATGATCATGTGGAACCAAGGTACTGACAGCCTTTAGACCCCAATGGACCTCCCACCAAGCCAAATCTCAATATCGTCCGTGTGAACATGGACGGGACATTCTATACCTGGAAACTTGCAGTTCATTATTTCCGGAAGCAAGAAGACACCCCGGACCGTGACCGATGCTTCATCATGACTGGAAGCATGGTCGCATACATTGATTCACCAGTAAGCATACCGTTTGAGGGTTTCTTGAATGGGATACGGTTCAAGCAGATAATGTTTTACTAACACCCGCATTAGGGAAATTGGGAATACACAGCGACTAAGTACGGCCTACGCGGCTTCATGAAGACCGTGCGTCGAAGCAGTTGGGAACAAGGAATCCGAATCAACTATGTCGCGCCATGCTGGATCAAGAGCGCTATCCGAACCAAGGAATACGAAGCTTGGTTGATTGAACGTGGTGTTGAGTTCGGCGAACAGGCTGATTGTGCCGGCGCGATGATGAGGATCGCATGCGATAAGTCTATCAATGGTATGTCGGCTTATAGTCGTTTCCTTTGTACCTTGTCTTTTGACGGGAAATTGTGGTTCGCATCATTTCTAACTCAAAACAGGACGCTCTCTCATGATTACTCCAAGGAGTATAGCCAAGGAGGGATTCATGGATGTAGACAAGGAAGACTACTCCGACCCCAAGGATGAATACTTTGCGAAGAAGCAAGCGTCGCAGTTGGTCATTATTGAGGATAAATGGCTCGATGATTATAAAGTGAGGATTTACAAGGATTGAGTCTAGTTTCATCGCTGACTCTCAGCAGAGACAGGGCCAAAACCGGCCTGTGTGAGTAGGAGATTTTACTATAGGGGGCATATCTTATTTAGTATTGGAATACAATTCTGTTTAGAATGCTTCGCTGCATAGTAACTACCATGCTCCTAAATCTCCCGCATGCAATCTCTCTGAACATCCCACCTGGGGGTATTCAATGCGCCCCATACAAGTGCGGAGAAGGCTTCGGCCCAAAATAAACGACTTATCCCGTATGTCCGGCTATGCCGGCACCGTATAGCCGACCGGTAGAATCTAGTTAAAGACGCTAATCAGCATGACTGGGCTAGCGCATGAAGATATAAAACATTAGTCATTAGCATATTGACACTCAACAATTTATACAATATAGACCTACACGTCATGGCAATTCTCGCAAGCACTAACATCCCATCCTCCATGCATGCGTGGAGGAAGCATAAGGGCAATCCTGAGCCTGTGAGTAACTGCACACTTACCAAAGAGTAACTATTGCTGATAGCCACGCTGGTCTGGGAAGAGGTCCCCGTTCCCGCAACTCCCAGCGGAGGATTCTTAGTAAAGATGCTAGCTTCTGGGGGTGAGTGGCTGATAGTTGTTGGACTCCAGCAACCCCTCGAAAGATGAGTGAGGCTAACATATGCTTGCTAGTCTGCCACAGTGACCATTCACTTCTCACAAGTGAAAAGCAGCGTCCCTGGTTTCAAGAGAAATACACTCTGGTATGGCCGTTATACCCCTTCTCATCCAGATCGGTAATCGACAAGCTGACAAGGGTTCCTCGATTCAAGGGTCACGAAGGATGCGGTGAGATTGTACAGATAGGCGAAAACGTGAAGGACTCCGGTTTCAGCGTGGTAAGTTCTACATATAGCCCTCTATCCAGGAGATGCCAAGGCCTAACAACCTTTATAGGGAGATCGAATCGCGACTATCGCTGTCCCAGGTTGTGGATCAGACGACTGCCCAGAGTGCTCACGGGATCTCGCTCAGTTATGCGAGCAAGCCCATCACGCCGGCATTGGTCAGGATGGTTTCTATGCGCCATACGCCGCACTAGATATTCGAGCAGTAGTCCATGTGCCAGAAGGTTCGTTTCCACGATGATCCTTTGCGGATTGATCTAACAAGCGGCGCAGGGATTCCGTCTTCCGTAGCAGCAGTGGCAACGGATGCTGTGAAAACCAGTTATCATGCCATTGTGAGACGTGCAGAGGTCAAGTCTAATGAGACGGTCTTTTTGTTCGGCCTCGGCGGCCTTGGGTTCAATGCGTTGCAGATTGTTCTGCATATCGGGGCTAGAGTGATCGTTTCTGATATTCGACAGGAACGGCTGGAGGAGGCTGCAAGGTTTGGCGTTCCTCGAGAAAACCTGGTACCGGCTGGAAAGTCAGTACAGGATTTTGTGAGGGAGAATGGGTTGCATGGGAAGATTGACACCACTTTGGATTTTGTGGGAACACACCAGACTTTCCAGGATGCACAGAACATCGGTATGTATTCTCCAATTAAAGTATTTTACGGATCTGACAAATTCCATAGTTCGCAGAGGAGGTAAACTCTTGTGTGTTGGTACTCTTGATGATGAGAACACAATCGACATGAAGATTGGTATTCAAAAGAGGTTGAGCATTATCTTCACATATGGCGGGCAACGGAGGGATTTGAAGGAAGTTCTCGATTTGATCTCGAAGGGAACAATTCAGCCGCAGGTTGAGACTGCTAGCTTGAAGGAATTTCCCCAGGTCTTGAAGGGTGTTTGCGACGGAAAGGTCAAAGCTCGGGTTGCGTTATTGCATGAGTAGCCTCGCGCTCATAACACATTAAACAACACGATAGTCTTGTACAAAACTATATGTGAATATGGACATTGAGAATCTCAGATTATTGATGAGTCCTACTATAAGCTGTTCATAGTATTGTTTTCTGTCACTTTCCCACTGAAACGATGGCAGCTTTATCAAATATATATATCCTCGTAATCCTACTCACAGCGAAAAGTTATCTTGGATGATATTATAATATATATTTTTGATAAAAAACATTGAGCACTTCCAAATTATAAGAGGTTTCTCGAAAGAAAAATGGTGTCTAAAGATATATGGCTGTGTTGGCTCGAAACATGGAGGGTGTACGGAGGCCAATGGAGCTGTATATATTCGGACAGAGCTTAATATTGAATTCTAACATAGTACTAGCCTTAAAAGGCTCACTTAAATAATTGGAAGGATACCTTTCACAAGCCTTTGGACTTCCAAAAGGGTTCCAGATCCCGAAACCAAGTCCATTTGACGTTCTGCGCCCATCCCTTCTCCTTCCAAGCGTTGAGACTTAATGGGAAGTGATCCACCCCGTCTCTGACACTTGCATCATGTGCGATAATAACAAATATGTTCTCATCGCAATCTAATTCTTGCAATTGGTCGCGAGTCTTCTGCGCAAGGGGAATATCATGTCCGAAACACATCTCGTAGACCGTATCTGTCGGTTTCCTTCCTCTAGTATGCTGCATATCATCGAAGACACTCCCGGGGCAGAAGGGCACATCACTTTGTGTGTTATACGGATGGGGAGAGATTGACTCCGGCACAGGGAGATATTTCGACGGTCGAAAGATGCCTGCGTAATGACAAATGTCTCCTCCCATCATGACAAAAGTAGGCGGATTTACAGTCGTTCGTGCTAGGCCGCAAAGATGCCCGATTGCGTGTCCTGGGCTGTCTAAGAGGTAGAACGATCCATCGCCGAAGTAATCAACTGCAGGGAATTTCCCAATACGGAGGGCATCTGGTCCATCGAATCGAATCTCACGCAAAGATCGACCACTATAGAGTTAGATTCCAAAACTGAAAGATGGTCAACTTAATTTGAAATGGCAAGACTTACGCATAATCACTTTCCCGAATAGGAGATTTAGGATTGGCAGGATAGCCGGGCAACATGGCATCCGAGAAGCCGGACCCCACAATCAAATCAGTGCTGCTGGGGAAGCTTGACGGGTCTCCGATATGATCCCAATGCCAATGGCTATAAAGTGATTGTTAGTTTTCTATTGACCATTTGAAATGTTCCAGACATAAATACCTCCAGATAACCGCATTAATGCTCTCTCCCGAGATACCATTCTCTTCTAGGATATCTACCACGTTTTTTGATACTTGAATATCGTAATTTGTTGTCGGTATGTAGTTGGCCACGGTGGGAGCATAGTTTTCATAATCCTTGCGAATCCCAAGATCAAACACCAGCTTTTGTCCTGAAGGATGTTCCAAAAGGAATGTTAAGACGGGTCCGGGTTTCTTCTTTTCCACACCAGGGATGGGGGGTTCCATGAACCGTTTGATGATAGCAGGTCCAAAATTGACTGGGTTGATCATTTTCACGCTGACCACCTCCTTGCCAGGAGGCAGCACAATGTTTGGTCGAGTAGCCATGTTTGTTCGAAGTTAGGATCTCTCTCAAAGTCAAGAGATTATATCCGTGCGTTTTCTTTATGAGAATGTTGAAGTTGAATTGTGGGGACGTCTGGAGCGGCCTGGAGCGGCATCGGCCTAGCACTATCGGTATTTCCACATTTGGATAACCCCAACCCCAACCCCCATACGGAGTACTCTCCATACCCACATCTTCGGCTGAAATGATCAATTCTCCTTTCTTTCAATGTTTCAATATTCCAAGACTAGACCTCGTATCGGTTCGTGTTCCCCCCGCATTTTTGCCCCCGCATTTTCGGGAATTACACGTTGGCATCGCCTACTCATGGACGGCGGCTCAGTTTTAATAAAACTTTCGGTTATACCATCGGTAAGCCTGCTATGGATTTTCCGTCGGCTCTGATATTATGCTTACATGATGATGATATTATCCCTAGGACGGAACTCATTTATGCCCAGAGATTGGCATTGCTCAGAAGCTCCGTGTGGATCTGTTCCCCAGGATTTCAGTATGATATGTCCGGGGATAAAAAGGGGCCCCCCAGCCATCGCCCTGAGGCTTCCCTTAGACTTTTAACACACAATCTGATTTTGAGTCAGACAATTTATTATGAGCTCAATCAAGGAAGATGTCTCCCATATTTCGAACGGCGAGGAGGGCGACTTGAAAAAGCTCGACACCGCTCACGGTGATGAAGCTATTAAAGTCCTGGCAGTCTATGATGGCGATCAGACCTGGACTCCAGAAGAGGAGAACAAGCTTCGCAACAAGATCGACATGAAGCTACTCCCTGTCCTCTGTGTCACCTATGCATTTCTTTACGCTGACAAGGTCCTGCTTGGACAAGCGGTATGACTACCTCGCCCCCTACAATACTGCAGCAACTGATGGGGTTTGCAGGCTCTTTTTGGTATCAAGGATGACCTGCACTTGAACAGTGGAAATCGCTTTTCCATGGCTTCTTCTATCTTCTACCTTGGATTTATCCTGGGGGCTTACCCGGTCACCTTCCTGGCTCAGAGATTTCCGATCGAACGCGTCGCTTCTTTGGCCATCATTGTTTGGGGAACTACTTTGATTCTCACGCCTGCTTGCACCAACTTCCGGGGATTATATGCACAAAGATTCTTTCTCGGCTTCACCGAGGCTGGCATCAGTCCGATTTTCATGATGATCGTCGTACGTAACCTTTGGCACCCCTATCAAACAGGCTCGGCTCACCACAATTTAGGGTGGATGGTATAAAAAGGATGAACAGTCTCTGAGAATGGGGTATGTTTCTACGTTAACATTGCCAGCCTCGACTCTACTGACTAGTATCTAGTGCCTGGTACTCATGCACAGGTTACGTGTCCATTTTTTCACCTCTTGTTAACTACGCACTTGGACATCTCGGGGGACAGTTCGCTCCGTGGTTCTACATGTACTTCTTTGCTGGTGCTCTCACTATCATCTGTGGTGTCATGATTTACTTTGTCCTCCCATCCGATCCCATCCGGGCCAAGGGCTTCAACGACAGAGAGCGCTTTATTGCGGTATCTCGGATGAGGACGAACAACTCCGGAGTGAGAAACACGCATTTCAAAGGTGGTCAGGCTATTGAGCTCCTGACGGATATCAAATTCTGGCTTATTTTCTTCTACGCTCTGTGTGGTATGTTTGCTAATGCGCCCATCTCGACTTTCCAGGCTATCATCATTGATGGCTTTGGGTTCAATCCACTGAACTCGTTGCTTCTGATGATACCTTCTGGCGTTTATGCTGGTACAATGATGTTGATCACAACATACCTGGCTTATAAATTCCCTGGTTGGCGCGCATATCTCGTCATCATGTCCCAACTGATTACGATGACTGCTGCTCTTCTCCTCTGGCTTCTGCCTCGGTCGGCACTTGGAGGACTCCTCTTTGCCTGCTACATTCTCACCACCACCGGTGCTGGATATGCAGTGACAATGGGTCTTTTCCTTGCCAACAACGCTGGATATACCAAACGATCCCTCGCTTCATCGGGATTGTACATCGGATATTCCCTTGGTAGGTTATACTACAAATTTGAAAGTTCTTGTTACTGATGTCCACTAGGAAATTTCGCTGGACCCCAGGTCTTCCGACACGAAGACTCACCCCACTACAATCTGGGATTCATCGTGGTGGTTATCACCGCAATTGTCGCGGGTCTCTTGGTTTTGGTATACCGTATCATCTGCTCAATGGAGAACCGTCGCCGTGACAAGATGGGAACGATGGAAGGGTTTGAACATGCCTATGAGGATGACTTGACAGATAAGATGGTGAGTGAGCTCAGTTCTAATTTGGAACCATTCATTGACAGATGCATAGAACATGCAATTCCGGTATTCATTGTGAAAGTAGTGATGATAGGCAGTTTCGGGATGGTGCGGTGGTTTGGGGAACTTGAGTGCAGTAGTGGGTAGTTATATAGTTTAGGCTTGAGCTCAGGGGAATACAATAACTAGTTTTATGGTGGATCTACGCAATGATTATTGAAACCTCTGTGTAATTAATCGTCATCCTTTCAGGACTTGTCTACAATCCATTCGAAGCCTGTTCCTCGGATAGTCGAAGTATACTCCTCTAAACAAATAGTCAGTGAAGCCAAAAACATACAAGTAGTAATATACTGTACAAAAATGCTAGGCCAACTAAACTAGTCATAGGGCTGGATGTGGTTAGCCGGCGCAAAGATGTCGTCGTCCATGCTCTACCTCGGAGCCTGCTCCTTTTCCCACTTCTTGATCTTCTAGGCGGCCTCCAGCTACTTCTGAACATCTCCTCGCGCCCAGTCTGAACATCCCCAGCTCCACACAAACACCCTAAAGTTCAATCCTGGCCGCCCACTGACCGCGGCCCTCATAACGAAGCACGCTCCACGCATAGCAAACACATGATTACCGGAACCCAAACCACCCAACAAAGAAACA